AACATCTACAATTCCATAAAGCAGAGAGCAACATTTACTAAAGTGCAGTTCTATGTATGATGTGATTAGTTGAGAGGGGTGACAATGGAACCAGAGGGAAAGGTGGCAAAGAGGAAACATGAAGTAGAAATAAGGAGCTAACACCCATGGAAGGCCTGCTATGTGTTGGACATTTTGTATAAAGAATATCTCGCTGAAGAGGTGGACGACACCATACCTGTTACAAGAGACAAAACTCGTCACCGGGCTCAGGTTACTAACTTGAGCCAGGCTCAAACTTGGAACGATCACACTATAAAACCTTCAGTTTCAGACTAATGTCAACAAAGAAGAGGAAGAAGAGGTGGCAAAGAGAGAGGTGAATGGAAAGGAACAGAATTGCCACGGGAGAATGAACCCAGCAGGAAAAATACAGCAAAGAATGTGGAGGAGAGAAAAAGCAAGTTAGTTAGACGTGCTGGAAGAGATACAGGTAAGTGGCCAACTGGGATTATCTGTTGCACATACAGACTTCAAGACAAGACATATATGCTATTTTCACTTCACTTTTTGGGACAGAGACTAGCAAGGTAATTACTTTCTACAACTCATAGCACTGTGCCCCTCACCTCGAATTTTTGAGTAGGGTTTGGCATGGATGACACTCTAAGCCAGATAATAACTTTTGCAGTATATTGGTTCCTTTCCATCACTCTGAGCAAAGTGCCTCACCTAGATACCTTAAAGGAGTGAGGATTCATTTTGGCTCATGGATTCGGACTTAGGGCATAGAGGGCATGGAGAGAACAGTTCTCATCAGGCAGCCAGAAGCAGAAAGGGAGGCATACAGGAAGGGGTTTTCCTCACCTCCCAATGTTATCATAGTATGAATCCATTGTAGGAGTAAGCCACTCATTAGATGAGAGCTTTATGATCTAACTGTCTCTAACCTTCTGTGACCATGCATACTACCCAGAGGTGTGTTTTACTAATTTTCTAGGCACTGCTCTTTGTCTAGACAGTCTTACTCTCATACAGTCTAAGCTGACCTTGAACTCCCTGTGCAGCCCGGGCCAGGATTACAGGTGTGCACTACAGCACCTGCTTTACTCTCTTTTCTTAATCCAGTGATGCTGTCAATCATAGCTAATCATCCCAAGGGGACTGTTTTCTACAACACAAGCTGTTTGGCAGTGTCCGGGCCACTTCTATTGGATCCCTGTTGATACTACTCCACGCATCAACAGCCGAAAATGTCAACACATTGTCACATGGATCCTAAGGCAAAACTACCTTCACTTGAGAACTCAGCAACAGCACAGTTCTGTTTAAAAATTGCCAAAGTGTGCTCCAGTTATGGTGCTGATACCGCCTGAGAACCTGTTAAGACAGGCCAAGTGTGAGACCTTACTTTAGATTAGCTGCATCAAAATCTTTGTTAGCATTTACTTAACGCCCGAATGCTAGGCTGCCTCTCCAGGGCACCTTCAGCCAGCCCAGGCTCCCTGTTGACTGTAGATGTGTAAGTTCTTATAAACTACTCGTGTCATATTTCTTTACAGTTCTGATTGATTTGACAATTAGGTTTCCCAGCTAACACTTGTGTGCTAGCTAACATACTAGGAACCGCTCTAAGAGTACTTTTCATACATCATTAACTCGTGTGATCCTCCCAACCCTCCTACGAGGCTGACATTACTCTCATTCTCACTATACAAATGAAGAAACTGAAGCCCACAGAGGAGGGGTCATTTCCTCACCTAAAGCTTCAGTTGTAAGTACAATCCTCTGTACTCTGGGTCCAGAACCTGTAGTGAATCCTACTTCTAATGACAAGATGAAAAAGGACACACACGATATTTTTCCAGATCATCTGTGGAAAACTTTGGTAAATACTGTCATGGAAGTCCCTCTTATTTACTTACATTTCTAAGCCAGTATTATTCTTTGTAAAATTCTAGGCATGGCAAAAGGTGAAAACCAGAAATGAAGCATCACTATTTTAAAGGAAGCAGGGGGATCTCTGTAAGTTCCAGCCCAGTCTGTTTCACATAGCGAGTTCCAGCCAGCCAGCACTGCACAGCGAAGCCGTCTCAAAAGACAGAGAGCAAACAAGCCAAGCCACACAAAACAACGAAAAGGTGGGACACTTGTTGAATTCATTCTTTGGGCTGTTTTAAGCCACTTCCAAGGGTTTGACTCACTGACCTACTTTTTCCACTTCTAGGAATCTATTTTAATACAGAAGTGTTATGATTAGTGATGGATATTTTTTATACAGCATTATTTAATGACAGAAAGTCTGAAGTCACTTACGTGTGCACTGTTAGGAGAATAGACTACTAAAAATAATTCTTTCACGAGACTTTTCTGACATGGGAAATAATGCCGACTTCTAAGTATATTCAATCAGATAGAAAACTTCATTAAAGCACATGATGTCTACATGGATTCGTAAGCTAAAACACAGAGCTACCGTAACACCAAGTGCTTGACTTCAAGGTATTGGACTAATTCCTTACAAGCATTTGTTTTCTTCACATGCACTTTTAAGTTTCTGAAGTACACACTACTTTTATAATAACAAAGACCTTAAAATAGCTTCTGTAAATACAGCCGTCTTAGGCTATTGTGAATTACAACCTGTGTTGTAATGAAGCCAATGCCACTGACATTACAGATGCAGAAGAAAACCCAGAGAGCTTCAGCCTTCCAGCTATCTAGCACTGGGGGTGGGAGGGTAGGGGGTTGGGGGGTTGGGGGTTGCGGTCCATAAAACCACCACTTGGTCACTGCAATCAGTGTGCTTAGATCATCTCTCAAGAACACAATTAACAAATGTGATATAGCTATGCCTAAGTCTCTTCGGTTGCCCGGAGAACAGCACACATTACTCCTTGTCCTTGCTTATCTCCCTGCCAGGCTTGACTTGTACTTCTAATCAGCCAGTTATTTTTTTTCTCAAGGCTGCCTTCTTAAGGGTACTTGATTTTAACTGGACCTCTTTTGTCAATCACCCTGCCTGCAAGGATTCAGGCCAGAATACCACTTAGCTTTCCTTCAGATGGAGTATGAACTAAGGGCAAACTTTAGATGATGGGAGAGACGAATGTGGAGACTGCAGGCTGGGAAGGAACCCAGGGGAGGGGCCGGCTTCTTATCAGAAAAGGAAACAGAAACAGAGCGAGATACAACACACATGATTAGGAACTGGCAAAGAGCTGAGACGCACACGTGAGGTGATTCTAGGACACACCAAGGCCCCACCCAAGACTAAGAAGGCCTTCCAGGGCTCTGGCCTTCAGTTCCCTCTCAACATCTAAGAGGCCAAGACTCTCAACTGCAGAGCAACTGAACACCCTCAACAGAAAGACAGCAGGAAAATGGCCTCTGTCTCATTTCAAGCTCACCAGTGTGGCTTCCATTTTGGATTCTATCACTGATTTTATGGAAAATTTCAGTGTAAACTTAAAGTAACATAGGAGGCAATTTCCCTGAATTATCCCATTTATAATTTGAAGTCATGGAACCCTTAAAACCAACCCCCCCAAAAAAAAGTGAACATGAGAATATCTCCATAATGAAAAATTAAAATGGCTCCTTAGAATATGTTTTGTAGTTGGCAACTGTAATTCTCTTCCAGACACTGTATGTCTAAAAACAGCTCTATGTGACATTGCATAGATTTTATAATTTCATTTGCAGGTTGTAAAGAAAGCAAGACACTGTTGCTAAAATATGATGGATCACAAAAGTTTGCTTTCTGTGTCAGTGCATTAGGCTGTACCAATTCTGACTTCCTGATAAGAGGTTCCCAGGTACCAATAGGTAAGAGTTCAGGTGTTTACTTCATGATTGTGAGAGCTTAGAGTACACAAGCAAAATAACGTAGTAAAAATAAATGACACAAATAACACGTCTAAGGAGTACAGAAAAATGAAATTTCATGACAAAATGAAGAAAGCAGGTATGTGATAGGGTATCTCTTTTCTAGAATGCAATTTTAGCTTTTCGTTTCATCCTTTTTCTTAGTTCTTTTAACAATTTCAGTAAGAGTAGAGTTCGTGATACTGGCTATGGCGTTGTATGGTAAAATCCAGAGACACTTAAGGGAAGTATTTCACTTAAACCATTACAACCATTCATACATTTACTTTTGGGAAAGGACTTTTAGTGGCTGTCTTGAGCAACTAAGGTAATAGGAAATCAAGACCTTATCTACTTTGTCAAGCATGGTACAGTTCAACACGAATGCCACCAGAAAGATTAGCTGCCACTTCTTTGCTTCTGCCACTAGCTCCTATACTGTCACACAGATGAACAACTACTCTCCACATGGTGAACAAGACCAAAGCCACACAGCATTATATTTGTTTCTTAAGCAATGTATTAAAATGTTTTTATTTTATTAATGTACTTATTTATTTAGTGATATTAGAGTTTTTAAAATGTGAGAGAAAAGGAAAAATGGGGAGGTTTTAATGGATTATTCCAGTAGTATAGGCTTGCTTATGTGATTTCTAAAGGTCTGCTTCTCGGGAGCATTTCTGAGTAGCTAACTACTGTAACTGAATGTAAAAAAAAAAATCGTCCCACGTAGAATTCAATTTTTACATTCAAACTGAGATCAAATTCAGAGAACTTAAAAAGTACCCAGTTTCTCTCTCTGTTATGTCTGGTCTCTTAGTAAAGCCTCCTTCGCTTTGGTGCTCACGGAAAGCAATTTTCTTTTTTCACTTCTAAAATGAAGTTGAGCTCTGGTCGCCGGTGCTGTGAAACTTGCTCCGGGAGAGTCCCAGTGTCACTCCGACACAGGCTTCCCCACCCGCTGTGCCGGCCGGCCGCCCACACCGTCCAGGGCGCGTGCGGTGCTCCGAGTCCCAGCGAGCGGAGGGCCCACGTAGCTAGCACAAGTTGCCGGGTGTTTTCAGGTGAGGCACCGGAGGGCATGTCCACCGAGCCAGCCCCGCCCGTCAACCGCTCGCCGCGTGCCCAGCCGCCTACCCGCGGCCCGCGCTCACCTGCTCGCCCCCGTCCTGCCGCCGCCTGCGCCGCGGGCTCGCCCGGGGCTCCCGCTCCTCTGCCTGCTCTGCCGGCGCCGCCCCGTCCTCGTCGCACTCCCCGCCGCCGGCGCCGCCCCGCAGCAGCTCCCCGGCAGAGCACATCCCGCCGCCGACACCGACCGTCCGCACGGCCGCCGCTGGCCACACCGGGACTCCGCTCGAGAGCCCAGCACAGACGTGAACCCCAGGAGCGCGCCCACCGGCCTGGGCGCCAGGAGTGCAGGAGCCACTGGCCCCTCCTGACAGCCTCTCGCCCCGCCCCAAGCTCGGGGGGGCGGAGCCCTCCGGGGGCGGGGCCATGATGAGAGGGGCGGAGCCTAGGCGGGCTGCTGTCCAATGGAGGCGGGACTCTTGGGAGGGCGGGCAGGGCTCTGGGGGCGGAGTCAGGGAGGGGGCGGAACCAAGGGGTGGTGTAGCATTATCTCTGCAACTGCATGAAACAGACTATGAAAGTAGTCATAGGTGCTTAAGGGAGATTGTGTGTGTCTGACAGGCTACTAATGCATATGCGAGCTTCTGTGTAATTGTGTCTGTAACTGTCTGTACACAACAGACATATTCTGTGTGATGTGGTGTGTGTGTGTGTGACAGACACAGAGACACAGAAAGAGATGAGAGAGTCAGGTGAGGAAGTCGTGTGTAAGAAACACCACAACAGACTGTTACCGACCGCCTTTCATATATATATATGAAAGAGGCCATAGGTGCAAGAAGGAGCTTGTGTCTGACGGGCTATTAACGTATATGAGAGCCCCTGTTGTAATTGCTTGTCTGTGAATAACTGACAAACAATTACAACCACAGACTGAGCTGTTTATACTGTTGTGTGTATGTGTACGTGGGGCTGAGAATGTCAGAAAAGAGGACATGTATTGTGAGAAAGTGTGTGTGGGAAACACTGTAACACTGAAACAGACTGCATGAAGGAGATAATATGAAGAGGCCCTTAGATGCAGGAGATTGTGTCTGATCGAGCATTGTGAAAGCCCGTGTATAATTGTGTGCCTGTGAGAGACTCCTATCTCCACACAACAGACTGTGGAAGACCTTATACCAGTCTACTGTGGCAAGATAGTATGGGATCACAGGTGTTGGAAGTCCCTGTGAGAATGTGGGTATAAAGGAGAGGGCAACAAAGAGTGAGAAGCTCCATGTGAGAGGGGAGCTGTGTGTGTGGAGCTGTGTGTGTGAAGATGTCAGCACATATAGGGTTTTGTGAGTGTGAAAGACAGAACCAGAAATACGCACACGTACCGCCATACACTCTGCAGCAGGCAATGCGGTGTGTCTGGGGACGCTGATGGCTGCTTGTCCCTTGTAAGGAATGCAGGATCTCTGTCACTTTCTTGTCTCTTTTTGCCTCCTTTCCCTAAGTACATCTTCGAGTGACTGCCTGTTTCTTTCTGCTTTCCAGTGTGTGTTGCTTGTTGGGACCCTGGGATCATTTAGTGATCTATCTGCCATTGTGTATGTGTCTAGAAATGATTTAAAAGCTCCCTGTGACAAGGGAAGCAGTCCAGTTTGTTTTTCTTTTTCTTGTTAGTGCATCCATATAAGGGTAAACACAAGGGACATGAATTTTGTGCTTGCCTTTTATCCGTGCATTGAGGAAAAGGTTATGGTGTAGATAGCATACCAGACTGTCAATGGAAATTATTTCCATATTTAATGCATAGGTCTGGAGATGAGTAAGTCACTTTGGAACCCTCTTTTAAAATGTCTTCAGGCCTAGCCAAGAAATTAAACAGGCAGGAATTCACAGGCTTACTTTAGGTGTTTTGTTTGGGGTGATCAGAAAGTCAAAGGCTTACTTTAGGTGTTTTGTTTGGGGTGATCAGGAATTCACAGGCTTACTTTAGGTGTTTTGTTTGGGGTGATCAGGAATTCACAGGCTTACCTTAGGTGTTTTGTTTGGGGTGATCAGGAGACGGAGTATTCTCTTATTCTTTCCCTCACACCTAGCTCACATTATCTCTCTTGTGCACCCATCATCTCCCATAAACATAGTGTCTTAACGCAGTCCATTTGTCACAGTTTATAGTGTAACCTAGTTTCTCTCTTTCACAGTCTCTCACAAATCCTCTTTAATAGTTTCTCCCAAACATACACTCTCCCTGAAGACTAAAAAATATGCTTTAGACGTCACGAATGAGAAAGAAAATGAATCTGTTTTAATGTCTGTCTTACAGGGCTTTAAAATCTTAGAAGACAGTAATTAATGTTATATGTACATAAGCGCAAGTTAATGTCACCCTGTTTGGAAAGAGGAAGATGCCTGGTCTGGTGGGAGGATAGGAGAGAGTAGTGTGTGTGTGTGTGTGTGTGTGTGTGTGTGTGTGTGTATGAATATGATTGAAATATATCATATGCATGCATAAAAATCCCACTATCCTGTATAATTAATGAAAATGAAGAAAAAAATGTTACCTCGAGAACTCAAGCATCTGTGGTGAGTCTCATTCGTTTTGTCTAACAGCACCATTGCAATTCATTTCTGAAATGTTGTTTTGGCTATTGTTCATTCTAAAGACACAGCATTTTATTTGACAATTAAACCTTGTTGGAAAAACAAGCCTAGGGTTATATTTGGTGACACAGAGAACTTGGGCCTTTACTGGCCACCCTGTGAACTGAAGACATTGTGTCTGTGCTTGTCATGCATCCATTAGTGCGGGAGTCCAGCAACTAGGCCCCAGTCAGTTAGGTACAGAATGAATAGAAACTGCTTGGATATGTGAGCGCAGAATGCATACAGATGGGTTCGTGAAAACACGCAGACCTTAGCTTGTTCAGGGGATGAGTCCTTTTGAACACACTGTCTGGTTTTCTATTAATGCTAATTCTTCCTCCTCTTCTCCTCCTCCTCCTCCTCTTTTTTCAAAACAAGGTCTTGTTTGTAAAAACAGGAGCTGGCCTTCATCTCAAATCTCTCCTGCCTCTCTCCCCCAAAGGGCTGAAAATGCAGGTATATGCCAACATGCCTGACTCAGACTCCTTGACCCTTTAGAGGTGAAGGGTTGTCGTTTAGCGTTTCATTAGGTTCTTATCAGGAGGCACTGAGCTCAGAATATAGCCTTGCTCTCAGGAAACTTCCATTTTAAACACTTCATTCTAGTATGCATCTCTTGGCCAAAGTAAAATAAAAATTAAAACAAAGTCTTTTACCAAGGCATGAGCACAGTCCTATGTCAGTAGTCTTTTACTATGGTATATATTCAGTTTTTTGTTTGTTTGTTTTTGTCTTTGAAAATGATATGCTTTTGTTCCCGGGAACCTGTTTTTCCTAGAGACCCGGAGAATTAAAACTTTCTACAAATGCAATAATAGTATCTACACAAGACATTATTCAGATTATATCTTAGACCATACACTTTCAAGTGCATTTTATGGGAAGAGTGAGCTATTTTTACTCTCTCAGCCATATGAGTAACATCTAAAGAAAGCTATCAGCCACTTGCCCGTGGGAAATATAAGGTTGTTATTACCTAGGCAACTACAACATGTCAGATTGCAGTTTTATTAGTATATTTACCTGCTTCCCCAGGACTTAAGTGGCACTGTGTGTTTGTGTAAGCAGTGCCTCTATGACCTATGCTGTTCCTCTAAGAATGGGTTTAATATCACACTGCCACCCCTCTTATCCTTTATTTTTAATATGCCTTCATTCATTTCATTTGCTCATCTTCCCATGGGGAAGAATGAGCAACTAGTCATGATCCAGTTACCCCAGCCTTCATTCTTCTGTTTGATTATTGGCACACAATGGTGTTATTTTCTTACAGTTTTTCAGTATTTTCTCTTTACTCCTCAAATAATTTGATTCTGCTTATTTCTTCTTTGCCAGAACCTTTAGAATGAGGGGTCAGTTTTGAACTGTTTGAAATTGTATGTAAAAGTTTGAAACCCCCTAGTTTTTCATGGAAATATATGAATTTAAAGAAAGAGGGACATATTGGCAAATTCTCACATTGTTTTGGGTTCCTGCAGATAAAGGCAAGTGGATGTCAGAGTTAGCTACTGTCAACTTGACACAATCTACACATTCCTGAGAAGAGAGAATTGTGATTGAATTGCTCACATCAGATTGGCCTGTGGGGTGTGACAAGTTTATATGGCATTTTCTTAATTTCTAAGTGATGAAGGGGGATCTAGTCCACTGTGTGGTGCTATTCCAAGGCAGATGGATCTGGACTGTGTAAGAAACATAGCAGCAAGGGAGGCTAAGAAAGCGAGAGAGTGGCATTCCTTAAGTCTCTGCTTTAGTTTCTGCCTTGAATCCCTGCCCTGATTTCCATCAGTGATGGACTGTGTCTTGTAGGCCAAATAAACTCTTTCCTCTACAAGTTGCTCTTGGCCATGCTGTTTTTCACAGCAGCAGAAACAATCTAGAACAGTGGATCAGGAACTCAGATTTGCTCTCCCAGAGAGTCAGTTGTCTGAGGAGAAAATTTGTCTTTCCTCTTGAGATTAATTCACATCCTCTGTTCTCTTTCTTTTCTTTGGTATGCTGCTTCTCTCCCCCCACCCCTGTTGATTTCTTTCCATGCACTAGGAATGTTGTAGTCGTGGTGGGTGGGGGTGGTCAGAAGCAAGCAGGAGAAAGCTGTCAAACTCACTGGTAGAGAGACACAGAGACAGGAGGAAAAGGAAAAGGAACCAATTACAAACTACCATGCAACATCTGTCTGCTGTCTTGAAAATATAGATAGTGCTTTCAAGGTGTTAGTTGTGCAGACCAATGACATTCTTAGGACAGTACACACTTATCTTTATTTGTAGCCTGTTGCTCACTAAGCTCAGAGAGGAGTTAGTTCAAAAGGGTATGTCCTGGACAAAGGGAAGTTATTCATAGGGGAACAAAGTTGCCATTAGATAGGAGGAGTAAGCTTTCCTCTTGTACAGTGTAATGACCACAGTTAATAACACTCACTTATATACTTCAAAGTTGGTGAACACAGACATTTAAAAGGCTCCAGTCATAAAAAATGGTTCTGGATATGTTGACTGGCTTGACATAATAACTCCATGATACCATATGTCAAAATGTCACATTGCCTCATGAATGCAAGTAATTGTTGCTTGTCAAACATAAAAACGTTTTTAAATGCTTTAAAGTCATTTGAATAAAAGTGTCCAAGTAGAACTATAGTCTAAGATGATGTTTTATGGTGAGCAATTTAAAAATATAAGGGAAGTGGAAGACTGTTGGGCTTGGGGGGATATGCCTATAATCCTAGCACTTAGGCTATGGAGGCAGGACGATGGAGGGTTCAAGGCCAACTTGGGCTATACAGTGAGTTTGGGACCAGTCTTGGCTACCATACATATTGAAAACATTTCTCAAAAACAACAAAGAGAGACCAAAAACAAATGAACGAGAAAAGTCACTTCAGACTGAGAGTAGCAGAGCAACTCTGTTATCTTGTGTCCCAGGAGCCAGGCAGAAAACAGCAGGAAAGGATCTAGCTTTGTTTAGTTTAGGTATTAAAAATTTTCAGATGCGAAATTCTGTGGACAATCAAGATTTAAATAGAATTTTAAAATGTGTTCTTTTTCTTCTTCAGAGAATGTGACTATGGATGATGCTATTTATAAAATTAATTGTAATGTTTTGATTTAAAATACATTTATTATCCAAGATCTCTATATATTTTCCTTGTAAAGCAGGATTGTTACCACCCAAAGTCTAGTTGACTCAACTTCATAGCCTAAAGTTCTATTACTGTTTGTTGAATAATTTAGTTCATGGATGGGCTTGGATCTTTTATTCATGCTAGTCTCAATAATTTAGAATCAGAGCTGAAAAGGAACTTAAGAGGCAGTTTTGAGCACATCCACTCAATGGTGAAGTCCTTCTTTGACACTCCTGACAGCTGATCACCCTCACCTTATCTGAAGGCTTCTGTGATGGTTAGTTTTTGTCACCTTGGAATAAACTAGAATCACCTGGGAAGAGGGAACTGCAATAGAAAAACCACCACCATCAGATTGGCCTGTGGCTATTTTTTTACTTAGTAATTGAAGTGAGCAGGCCTAGCCCATATCAGCAGTGCCACCGCTGCGCAGGTAGTCTTGGCCAGTATAAGAAAGCAAGCTGAATTTCATAACTGCTGCTTCCACACTGTCTGGGCATATTACACCATCAATTGTGCGACTCCTACTTATTACCACTAATTGCTACACAGAGAATGATGCTGACCATTGCAGAGCAGCTACGAAGCCCGGGAAGGCAGACCAGAGCACTTGATAGTTTATTGGGGCCATTGCAAAATCCTGTGAGAAGAATCAATTTCTCTGTAACTATCTGCCTGATAGCAGCAAAAGGCTCTCAGGTTTTTGAATAGTAAATAAAGGCTTCCCAAGGACAAAAAAAAGAAAAAAAAAAAAAAAAGAAAGCAAGCTGAGCCAGTCACCGGGAGCAAGCCAGTAAACAGCTTCCTCCATGTCTCTGCTTCAGTTCCTGCCTCCAGGTTCCTGCCTCGAACTCTTGCCCTGAATTCCCTCAGTGATGGGAACTGTAAGATGTCATAAATCCTCTCCTTCCCCATTTGGGTTTCAGCCAGCGTTTTATCACAGCAACAGAAAGCAAAGTGGGACAGCTGTCAGCTGTGGCAAAGTTACTACTTCCTGATACCATCCGCTCAGTCACTTGGTAACTCAACTGCTAGCAAGTTGTTCCCACCTATTAACTTTAAATTCTTTTCAACCCACATTTATTTGTCTGCTTGTTTATGGAGGGAGGTTCCTAAATGCAGCCATAGGTCAGAGGACAACCTGAAGGAGTTGCCAGTCTCCTTCCACCTTGTAGGTCCTTGGGATTAAGCTCAGGTCTTTGGGCTTGACAGCAAGCTCCTTTACCTGCTGAGCCATCTTGCCAGCATCCTCCATCTACTAACTTTAATTTGTATCCTTACCCCCTTGGCCTATTGACCCAAGTCAATCCCTCAAGTACAAGAGAACAAATAAATCTTTCCTCCCTCAAGACAACAGTTTGAAAACTTAAAAATGCTTGGCTATTAATTTTTTCATGTGTGTGTGAACATGCATTCCACAGCATGTGTGTGCAGGTCTAAGGACACTTGGTGAAGTTGGTTCTTTTTTTCATACAGGTTCCAAGGATTGAACTCAGGTTATCAGGATTGCTGAGGCATCTTGCTGACCCCCTTTTGAATTTCTTTTAAAAGTAGTTTTTTATTTTAATTTTTATTTATTTATTTTTTTGGTTTTTTGAGACACGGTTTCTCTGTATTGCTTTGGAGGCTGTCCTGGAACTAGCTCGAACTCACAGAGATCTTCTTGCCTCTGCCCCCTGAGTGCTGGGATTAAAGGCACGCACCACCAACACCCAGCTAAAAGTAGTTTTTATCTTCTCTTAATCTTTATTCTTTCAGTTGTTATTTATAGACAGGTATGTATTTTGCTGTTGCTATCTGTACCTCCTTTTGTTTTCTTTTAAGACAACACATATTTGTCATTACCAGGAAACAGGATGCACCTCCTTCTTTTATTAAGAATACTCCAACTGTTAAAAATTATTCTATCTAGTTGGGCAGTGCTGACACATGCCCTTAATGTCAGCACTAGGGGAGCAGAGGCAGGTGGATCCCTGAGTTCAAGGCCAACCTGGTCTACAAAGTCAGTTCCAGGACAGCCAGGGCGACTCACAGAAACCCTGTCTAGAAACAAACACAAAAACAAAGAAACCAAGACAAAACAAAACAAAATCTACATTTTGCCAGTGCTGTCTGCGATTTCAATGTCGGTGAATCTACTCCTGGCCCAGCATAGAAGAATATGACATTGACTAAACATTCAAATGTATTTCACCCCTCTCACCTTCAGTGGCTACTGTGATTGATTTGAAGGTTGGTACATCATCCAACTTAGGCCAGTCAGGACCAATGAAATTCAACTCTGGGACTTTGGTTTGTATAACGGGAAAGAAAAATCAACATCTTGTCCAGAGGATTGATGTGTGATGACATGTGTAGGACTAAAAGAAAACCACCTCACAGCATCCAAGACTGAGTTAACATAACAGAACCTACAGCTGACTAGTGGACGTTGTAAGTCAGCTGTTGGCTTTCATCAAGTACTAAGAGTCAGAAGGACTCTGGGATACAGGAGAAAGAATAGTGCTTTTATGATCAGGCTTTGGAAGTTTGGGCAGTTCATTTATGATGCCCTCTTCTGGCTTTCATCATCAGAAAAAAAAAAGAGCCGGTAGAAGTGGATATTTCAAAAGGCATCTTCCTGCGTCTATACTTTCTTAACTTCTGTATGGCTTTACTTCAAGATCTATCCTGAGTGTCTTGGCTACTGTTTAACACATTTGTTGTAATTAGTATGAAACTGCTCTTATTGGAGAAGTTAATTCATAAAAGTCAAAGAACAGAAGCAGTTTTCTCATGGTACATGTTCCTTTTAGTAGTAACTAAACCACCCAAAGTTGCTTTCTCTATCCTCTCCCACCACAAAAAAAAATCTTCTAAAGTATCTAGATATATATAACTCATCCTATTATAAGACACCATAATTTTACTACTGTAATTATTGTTCAGCCAATAGTAGGTCTCATGCTCTTTTACCCCTGTATTTAAAGAAAAATAAAACAAACATAGCTCCAGGAAAAGTTTCAGGAATAGTACAATGAATAGCGATAGAGCTAAACTCACATGGTCCTAGTTGATGTTTTTCTGTGTTTGCTTTCCTGGGTATGAGTTTCCTGAGCCAATCTGCTGCTCTCAGTGTATACATGAAGAAAACTATAGACTTCTAAGAAGAGTGCTACCTTTCCCAGGGAACATTTAGAAAGATCCGAAAGAGGGGAAATGGTACAGTATAAGGAGTTAGAAAATTTAAGTCTTGACTGTGTCTGAATTTCTGACTCTCTGGATTTCTATTTACAAAGCACAGAACATTATTGCTATCTAAGTTTATTCCCAAACAATACTAGCCAGCATTAACATTTTAACAGTGGAACTGATAAGATGAGGTGAGGCTTGGTTTGTTGTTGTTGTTTTTAACTGCAAAAGGGTAATCTTAAGTTATATCTGTTTTGCAAATGGGATTGAACTTGAGTTTTCTCACATAGGTATTACATTTGTGGTTAGGTTATAAAGGAATCTGAAACACTGAAAATGGATTTATGAAATTTGTATTTTAACTGGACAAGAAAGTAGGCTGTAAATGGCATGTGCCGATACGGTTCCCGTGGATGTAAGCCCAGATCCAGGGAGGCAAATGGGTTCCATATTGCGTATTGATTATTGGCAGCAGCTACCTAGTAGGCTGTGTAAGAGGCTGTGAGAACTTACTGGGGAAGAAAGACTGGATGGCATGAGAAATATGAGTGGTGGTCCAGTGTTGCTATGGTCTTAGGTGTTCCCTACAACTGACACGTTGAAACTTGGTGGGCAATATAACACTATCACAAGATGAGGCTTATAAGAGATAAGAGCAGAGCCCTCATGGATGGGATTGAGATGTGTGGACGACATATGAGTCCTCAAAAACTCACAGCTAAGCAAGGTCAAAAATCATTCAGGAGGTGACAGATGGCACAATTTATTCTCTACAATATACTTTTTAGCTTTAACTCACTTGTTAGTGTGATTTCATTATCAGGGAAAACAATATAATTGAAGAGTAGATATATCTCTCAACATTATTACTATAAGGAGCTGGAGAGGGCTCTGTGATTAAGAGCAGTTGTTGCTCTTGAAGAGGACTTGGGTTATGATCCCAGCATCTACACGATGACTGCCTGTCAAACATCTCTAACTCCATGGGCTCTAGACACAGCACACATGGTGCACACACATACTCAGGCAAAATATTCAAGCACTCAGGCAAAATACTCAAGCACATAAAATCAAACAAAAATGAATCTAGAAACCAATACAAACATTATTCCTATAGGATTACCTACAGAGTTTTACAATCCTCTGGGAAGAGGTGCATTTGACTGACACATAAATAAAGACAAGCAAACACATGAAAGAAAACAGAAGGCAGCTTTGTTTATTTTCTTGTGTGGCTGCCTCTTTTATCAAATTAGATGAGGCTTCTTCGGCTTTTCCTTCTTGTCTTGCTCTTCCATATCTCTGAATCTTGATAACCCAGAACACAGTGAAGGCCAAGGAAGCACGAAAGGACCTTCTAAATGACTCTAGAACCTCCTGAGTATTAATTAATTCATCCACTTAGAAATAAGTGCTTCTTAGGTCCTCAGAGGAAGTCTGCTTATTCATAAACCACAGCTGCAGTAGTCAGGGAGTGCAGAGGTGCCAGGTGCTATTTGGACCATATATGCCAGGCACCACACGGGGTGAACTGTGTGAGGGGATATGGAGACTGTTAGAGAACCTTTCTTGTTCTCAGTTTCTAAACTCTGGTGGAGCTTTATAAAGCATGTGGGCACCGAAGGGTAAAGCCCAGCGTGAGTCTCATAGGGACTTGCAAATGGAGTGCTATGCAGTTCAAAAGCAGGGCAATTACTCTCACCTACAGCACACAGCTGAAATGGCAACTCTAGGAGAGGGAGGAATTACTTTCGGTAGGATATTGTCTTGTCAGCAGCTGCGATTTTGTTTCTCAAGTTAGCACAGAGTGGAAACTTAAAGGTACTTTATGCTAGCACCTGAAATGAAGTCCAGGAGCCACTTAGTTTAGGGACAAACTTTGAAAGACTTTGAGGCCATCACAGAATAATACAATAACCAGTACATTAATGCTTCATAGCTTTTGCAACCAGAAGTTCCCTTGGAGGCCATTTGGGCTCCAAACTGCATGGAGGACACTTATACAGGATAAGTGACTTGTTAGATAAGAGGGGGTGTGCCGTCCCTGACATAATTTTCCTTCACTTCACCACCCGTCCTTTCCTTTCCTGTCTATCTGCCTATCTATCTACCTATCTATGTATCTGTCTAGCTGTCTTTTATTTACTTATCTGACTTTTTTGTTTTTGTTTTTCCAGACAGGGTTTCTCTGTGTAGCTTTGGAACTAGCTCTTGTAGTCCAGGCTGGTCTTGAACTCACAGAGATCCACCTGCCTCTGCCTCCTGAGTGCTGGGACTAAAGGTGTGCCACCACCACCCAGCTTATCTGGCTTTTTGAGACAAATAAAAACAGGGCTGGAGATGTCATGAGACTTCTGGCATTGTTGGGTCTTTTCCTTCCAAGTCCTAAATCTCCAAGATGAGTGTGGTCATGCACACTTATAAACCTAGCACTTTGGAGAATATGGTATGAATTTCAAATTCAGGCAAGCTAGGGATCCATAGTGAGACCCTATCTTAAAAGCAAACTAAAAAAGCCACCACTGCTAACCATGACCACCACTATCACCACGATGACCACCACCACCACTATGACCACCACCACCACTATGACCACCACCACCACCACCACCACCACCACCATGACCACCACCACCATGACCACCATCACCATGACCACCACCACCATGACCACCATCACCATGACCACCATCACCATGACCACCACCACCATGACCACCATCACATTCCACTTACCAGAAAGTTATCTTGCAAATCTGACAGTGGTAACCTTGTATGCCCACAATTTTTCACTGATAATAGGATAAACCTTGAAGTGTGGCTATCTTTTCCTTACCTTCCGCTATCAGCTCCTAATTCCCTGACCATGATGACTTCTCCAGCTTCACTTAACTAACAAACACCTCAGTTTAGAAGTGCCCCCTGTATATCATTGCTTTAAGAAGTCCAGGCTAGGTTAGAAGCCCTTTTCCCTGTTCCTTCTGTTAGACTTACCTCCTTGTATTCTAATTATGTACTTATGCCTCCCTTCTTACTGAATGGAAATTTTTTGATAACTGTGTTTTCTTCATCTTTGTCTGTCAGAGCTCATATTAGGAGCTTACTTTAGACTGAATATTTGCATGCAAACACCCCAAATTCCTATGTTGAAATGTAATCTATAATATGATGGTCTTTAGGGGCAGAGAGATCAAAACTCTCCTTGTTAGAGAAGACAACAGAGAATTCCTTTGCTCTTTCTGCTATATCGAGAGACAGAAAAATGGCTGTTCATGAGTTAAAACACAGGATTTCACCAGGCATTGAATTTGATGATGGTTTTCTTCCCATTTTGGTTTTATATGGATGGGTTTTGCCTGAACGTCTGACTGTCAACCGTGGGCATGTTGGGCCACAAAGCTTAGAAAGGCAACTGTAAATGGAGTCATAGATGGTTGTGAGCCACCATGTGGGTGCTGGGAACTAAATCTAGTTCTTCTGGAAGAGAGTCAGTGCTCCTAACCACTGTATCTTTCCAGGCTCAAATTCCTATTATATTTGCCACTTAGTATATGACATTTGATTAAGACAGTCCAGATGGAAGAAGACCATGCTCAATGTTAGGACGTTAGACTCTCAATAAGCAAGTGTGGGATGCATGCACAGGTGCCTGAAATAACAAAGATTGAGCGCAGATGCCCAGGCGAGTGTTCTATTACACACTTGCTCCCTGCAGTGAGCTATGAGGCCAAATTGTCTGAGAAGGATTTTTTAAAAAGCACAAAATTCTAGCACTGACACTTTCCCACAAATATTAGATTCTTCCTGCAATTTTTATTTTCTAACTGGGTTCTAGTGAGTGAACTCCAGTATTCCTTCCTTTCTCCCTCCCTTCCTCCCTCCCTCCCTCCCTCTGTCCCTTTCTTTTCTCATTGTTGCTTGCTGGTTTTTCAAGGCATGGTCTCTCTGTGTAGCACTAGCTTACCTGGAACTCATTCTGTAGAGCATACTGGCCTGGCACTCAGAGACTCCCTGCCTCTGCCTCCTGAGTCTGGCATTAAAAGTTTGCACCACCACTTCGCAGCTAGTGTTTTCTTTCACATGGTTTTAAGAATAATCATGCTGAAGAAATCAAAGCAGTGTGCAACAGATTTTAGAAAGATTTGCCTTCAAGATGGGTAGATTTGTTTAAATATATATTGAGGGATTATCCCTCTCTAGAAAACAGCACATCATAATAGCATGCACTAATGATTATGGGCAGATAAGGCTCAATTTTTTGCTTCCTACTGCTCAATTATTTGGTTTTTCTTTTCTATCTCTCCTGAAATAAGTTTCATTTGTCATATTAATTTTTTCTTTGCATTTGTTTCTTAACATCTTATGCTCATTTTCCCATTTGTAGTTAATGGACTCCCATTTTTTCCTCCTGTCTCCTTCCCTGATGAAATGCCTCCTTTCAGCTCTTACTTTTTGATACTCACATTTCTCTTTGACTGCCTGGCTGCATCTCTGCAAAGCAGCTGAAGGTTCCCCTTTACAAGGGGTTTCTTCTGCCATCTCGTTGGGCCTGTTGGTTTCTGTGGATTGTCAGGCCTCTGAGGACAGATGCTGCTGTGGGTGGGAATTTGGCTGGCTTCACAGTTTTCCGTGGCCATCACGTGCTCCTCGGGCTTGGGCAGGAAGCCTGTTTCCACCGGCCATCCCGGAGCAGGAAGACAGCCCCTGTGTAGGTGGTTTTGAAGAAACCTCCTTCTAGCTTTCCTGTTCCCTGCTGGCTTTAGGTTTCCAGGTCTTGGTGTTGAGACATCCTCAAGCTTTACCCCTGACTGAGCAGGATCCCACTTTATGTGTTTGCAAGACAATTCACGTGCATCTTTGGTTTGAAGTAGATGTATGCTATGTGACTTATGATTTCAGGTTTGAGTTTGCTATTTGATTCAACGCTAATGATGTCCTAGTGGACATTTATGCTATTTTCATCCTACTTGGAGAGAGAAAATGAATATATGATTCTTATTAGTGTTATGACTTGCTAGATTCTAGTAAACAAAAGAGACTTTTTTTTCTAAGTTTTTTTCCTGAAGTTTGATTTTTTTTTCAAGTTACCAAGAATAGACTAATTAGCTACCATGGACTATTTAGTGCTTATATCTTCTTCTATCATCATCATCATCATCATCATCATCATTATTATTATTTTTGAGACAGGGTTTCTCTGTGTTGTTTTGGAGCCTGTCCTGGAACCCACTCTGTAGACCAGACTGGCCTGGAACTCACAGAGATCCATGAAGGCCTATGTCTTTCTCTAAGGTAGTATTTAGGGCTGGGAGTATATATCTCGCAGTTAGAGAGCTGTCTAGCCAGTTGCTGAGTTCAAGTCCAATCACGCAAAAGAAGTGGTGTTTCGTTAATGAAATGTGGTGTCTCTTAGAAATGCATATGATTCCACTGTGCTACAGAGCCAGTCGGTGTCCTTTAAAGTACTAATATCAGTAGCCTTTTCTTCTCTTTTTTGTTTTGTTTTGTTTGTTTGTTTTGCTGTTTTGAGACGGGGTTTCTCTGTATAGTTCTGGCTGTCCTTAGACCAGGCTGGCCTCAAACTCAGAGATCTGCCTGCCTCGGGGTTTCTCTGTATAGTTCTGGCTGTCCTTAGACCAGGCTGGCCTCAAACTCAGAGATCTGCCTGCCTCTGCCTCCTAAGTGCTGAGATTAAGGGTGTGTACCACTACCTGGCAACCATTTCTTAATTCTGAAAACAGTTGAAAATTCTATATTCTATTTTTATATGATACTTAGATGGTATTTTAAGGGGCTTAGGGAGATGGCACCATTGGTAATGTGCCTGCCATGGAAACATGAGAACCTAAGTGTTTGATCCCTAGCATCTGTCCTAAAGTCAGACAGGGAAGTGTGCTCCAGTAGTCCCAGTACAGAGCAGGCAGAAATGAGAAGATCCCTGGGATCCCTGGCTGGACTGTCCAAGTTGTCAGGTTCCAAGATCAGTGAGAGACCATGTTCCAAAAAATAGGGTAGAGGGCAACTGAGGAAGACACTTGACATCAACCTCTGGCCCCTATGAGCATATGATCATGTAGGCACACATACCTATACACACAGGCACACCAACATATCCATGCCCACACAAATTACTGTTTAAGGTTTTATTTTAAAATCCTTGATAGTCTTGAAAACACACAGGGTGGTTTTGACATTATTTAAAGAATTCTTTTAACTGCCTTTCTGTCCTCACATTTACAGATATTTTTCCTCCATTTTTAAATTTTATTTAAATTAGAAGCAAGCTTGCTTGACATGTCAATTGCAGCTCTCTTACCCTCTCCTCCTCTCCTGCCCCCCACTAACCCCCAACCCCCACCTCATTTCCCCTCTGCTCCCCAGGGAGAGTGAGGCCCTCCATGGGGAATCTTCAAAGCCACATTTACAGCTATTTCATATTCAAAGACATGGTCCTTTGTGAACTATTTCTTTAAAAAATTGGTCTCAGAAAACTTGAGGTTTTTAATTTTACTAGTAAGTACCAAAGATACTGTTTGCTTGTCTAAATCTTGATGACTATTATCACTCAGTGTGTTAATAAGTGCCTAATTGATTTGCAAGAATTATTTGATATGCTGTCCAGGGAATATGGTGTTTGGGATTATGCCAGAGCTACAGATAAAGGGAAGGGAAAATTCAAAGTAGAAGAAGCACTTGGTAAATTCATGAACTTAGACCCGGAAGAGCCCTGTATCGGGAGTCAGCATGGATTTTAACTCCAGGCCTGTCATTCTCTAGCGAGGCATCTCTGTCAAATTCTTGTTCCTTGCCTGGGGAATGGCATGCAGGTACCTGCTTCATGGTGGTAATTGAATGAGTGAATATATGCTGAACTTATTGCAGTAGTTTGTAAATATTAAAATCACAGGCTGATGGTTTATATTGTAGATTCTAAGTTTGATTATAAGCTATGAGAAATTTTGCTCAATTAAATTTATTTACATTTACAAAAATATCATAATTATTAGTCTTCCCGATTCCCCATACTGGAGGCCTAGAAACTATTTTACTTAGAGGCATTTGAGCTAAAAAAAATCTTTGTTTTTCAGATTAGATTTATAGGAGTCTAGAATTTGAAATAAACCTTAAGAAAGCATCTATCCCCTGGTAGGGTGCTGAGTCCTGCACAATTTATCTCACTAGAAAGTGAAGTCACTACAGAAGAAAAGTGCTCAGCTGTGATCACATCTATGGTGGCAGGCATTAGCCTTGCTTGGAAAGCAGGGAAATAGGACAATTATTTGGACTATAAAGATCTAAAGATCTGATGCCCTTTAAAATGAGCTGCTGAGGGCTGGTGAGACAGCTTAGTGAATAAAGGAGCTTGCTACCAAGCCTGATAACCCGAATTTGACCCCTGGAACCCTCGTGGCAGAAGGAGAGAACTGGCTCCTTCAAGTTGTCCTCCCCCCTCCCCCCCCCACACCAAGGTGGGGGCATGGCACGTGCATGTAAACACATGGACACAAAGTATATGTGAAACATTAATGAGCTGTCAAAATAGTTAATGGTATTTTCTTTCTATGGACTATAAACCTGTTTGCTGTCTTGATACAGTTGTCACTCCTCCTTTCCCTTTTAAAAGTGTCTTGGTTGAGATAATATATTATGTGCTTCTCTAGTTTAATTGTGCCATTCAAAGAGTAGCAACTGGCAGTAAAATTGTGGATAGCAAGACTTGCTTGTTCTGGGTGTAATGTGCTAAAAGTGGGAAGACCTGTTAGCCTACGGGAATTACTGGCATGCTTTCTGGAATATTATACATACATATGTTTCCTTCCTTTTTATTTTTCTGGGTGATTTTTGTTTGCTGTTTTGAGAGAGAGTCCTTTTCTTTTTCTGGTTCTAGGGACTGAACCAGTCCCTTGTGCATGCAAGGCAAGACTCTACCACTGAACTATACATACCCCAGCTCCAAATATTTATGTTTCCTTACACATTGTAGAAGTCCCTATGACAGCCTAAAAGACAATGAGCAATTATTTGCTGGCTACTAGCCCCTGTTGCCCTGTGGTACTCAGTGAATGACTTCATTGAACAACAAGCAATATTTACAAAATCCCGTGAAGCCAAGGTGGTTGATGGGAGAACCTGGAGTGGGAGGTGTTTAGGAATCTTGCCAATGGTGCTGGCTGGCCGGTGGTGATCAGGGCTGCACAGGGAAATCCTGTCTCCAATAGACCATTTAAAAAAAAAAAAAGAAGAAAAAGAAAAAGAAAAAAAGAAATCTTGCCAATGTTTGACCCGAGGAAACTACTACTTCAGTCAACTATGAAATCACTGTCCAGAGGACGGTTTGAAGAATAAACATTGCTCTCCGTTTTAGAATTTAGAACAGGAGACAGGCATTTAAGTAACCAATCAATACACAGCAGTGCGGCTCCAGAGTTCAGTGGGAGCTTGGATGCTCGGAGCAAAGGCAGCATATGCTCGGAGCAGAGGACAGCAACAGGCCCTGCCCTTGTGGAGAGCCCCGGAGGGAACACATACACTCGACTTAACTTGAGGTTTTCTTTCTTTCTTTTTTCTTCCTTTCTTTTTTTTTCAAGACAGGGTTTCTCTGTATTGCTTTGGAGGCTGTCCTGGAACTCGCTCTGTAGACCAGGCTGGCCTCGAACTCACAGAGATCCGCCTGCCTCTGCCACCCGAGTGCTGGGATTAAAGGCATGTGCCACCAATGCCCGACATCTTGAGTTTTTCTTATTCATGATCTTTCCTTCCTGCTTTTAATCAACAATTTATTTCTTCTCTGTGATCCCTCATGGATTTTTATCCCACACTAAATGGCGAGGGGGAAAAAGATTTCTTAAAATGTCTAACAGAAGAACACATGCTCTGCCTACAACCCGCGGACTCCCTAGAATAGTCTAAATATGGACTACAATCTAAATCCAGACCTCAGAGTTCCGACAGTGCTTGAAGACAGCACACTGACCAGCCGAGGGAGGCTTTTGCATTATGCTGTGCTGTTTCTTTAAAGAGAAATGGCGTGAGTTTTTTGAAATGATAACCACTAGGAGAAAAGACACTGCAATTGCTCAATTTTAAGTAATTGCCTAACTAGGGAGCAGAGTCCCAGGAGAGGGCTGACAGAAATAGCTCAGGCTTTTTTTAGCTGCCAGTGTTTTAACTATATACAGAGAAAAATGAAATCTATGTAATTAAAGTATAAGTATTCACAGCGTTAGAAGTTCTAAGCAGTTAAATAGGTAAAGAATTCATTCAAACGATGTCAAACACTCGAATGTAAGGGTAATTTATACACCCATTGCTAGAATTATGTACTTTAACCCAGTGAAAAGAAGGTACAAAGTGTCTCAGAAGGGAGAGAAATGCACACAGTACAGTTTCACCCATATTTAATGGAGACATTTTTCCAGGGATCACTTGAATTATTTATTTGACCATGATAGGTCTTTGAGAATTTTGTTTGAAAGCTAATTTTGGGATGGACAATAATCAAAACACGATAATGCTGGTCTTACTTCCCATGCTGGAAGCCCTGAGAGAGTTGCTTTGAGCATCCT